ACAGCCCAATACAGACTTTAGTGCACATACTATACATTCGAAGCTTCAAAGTTGTTTTTGCTCTTTGTGCTGACTAGAACAAATAGTGATATCAACAGCCTGAGAGTTATCCTTTAACTACTGAGGAATTCTGACAGTATACTGTAGTTTGCTCTGTAAAAATATATTTTTATATTTAAACATATTAGTATTGACATAAATGTTAAGGCTGTATCCAAAATGATACCAAAATATTTTTATTTATATTTATATTACTTTATCTTACCTATAATAAAAAAATGTAATGACCATTACTAAAGGAGAATTTGGAGGTCAGCAGAATACAATGTTCATAGAAAGACAAGTTTGTTGTGTCTGTAGATTAATTGGGTCTAGGTGGGTATAAAGTGGTTGTTGGCATAGATCTGGATAAGAGAGTTCCCTGATGCCTCAACAGTACTGTTTTTACAGAAGGAGAAAAGAACAGAACCCAGGGCAGAATCTAGTTGGACTGCCTTAGTAACTGGCAGGAGCTCTGAATCAAATCTGACATATTTCACTCATATTGTGCAAATAGGTAGCATTGCTGTCTCTCAGCGCTGGGGTCCTGGGTTCAATTCCTTGGGTGATATTAGCATGGCGCTTGTGTGTTCTCCTTGTGTTTGCGTGGGTATCCTCTGGGTGCTCCGATTCCTCCTACCGTTCAAAGACAAGCTTGGTAGGTTCATTGAATTCTGGGGAAACTGGCCCTGGTGTGAGTGAGTGTGTGCGTGTCTGTGTCTGTGTCTGCCCTGCGATGGACTGCTGTCCTGTCCAGGGTGTATCCCACCTTGTGCCCATTGATTGCCAGGCTAGGCTCTGGCATCCCCCGCGACCCTATATTGGAGGAAGCAGTTAGAAAACGGATGGATGGATCTGATAAGTGATTCTGTAACCATGTTAAGGAATTTGTAGTCAAGACCAGTGCTACAGAACACTTCCAAAAGTATATTTGTGAATACACTCAATAATGCTCTATTGTGTCACGCTTTATGTGGGACAGAACTGGTTCTGGTACACAGTGAATACTCTACAACAGCAATAGTAATCCATCTGACTACGTCTTAACACACATCTGAAACAAATGTTTTGTTCTTTTGCTAAAAAAAACTAATTCTCTATACTTCGGCAGTTTGTGTACTGCTATTGCAAAAAATTGAATAGTTGTTCCTGAACAGTGTTGAATTCTTGAGCTCAGTAAGATCCGCATCATAGAAATATCTCAACTCAACTGTTTCTTTTTTCAGTAAAATGTGATTCATTTTTTGAAAGCTCAATTTTTTCTTTACACGAGACAACTGTTCCTTCCCATGTGGTAATTCTTAGCACTGCGCAGCAAACTAGGGTGTTGGACTGCTATGTTGCCTTTTTCATCTTTCTTTGGCCTGTCAATCTGTCTTCAGTTTCCATCCAACTAAGACTATTGAAACTGGTGTAATACCATTACTGTCTCTTCTAGTGTAACTGCAGCTAGTTTAAAGTCTATAATCTCTGTTATTGCTGCCACGAAGAATGTAACTTTCAAAGGTAGACATTAATAAAAATGTTTAATGTAGCACGAGGAATTATTTTGAATTATTACAGTTGTAATTTTAATGTTTCCCAGAGCCCCTTTTACACAAATAAAGAGCATACATAGATTGTACCAGCCAAAAGCCCCCCAGCTCCACTGCTCAGGTACATGTTGCCTTGGCATTTGAAATGCCCCTGTCTTATCTGCTCACATTCCTGGTTACAACATCTTCAGCCACCTTTATCCACAGTATAAATTATCCAGTTTGAAATGGACAGCATTCATTAACGTTGCACTTTGCAGGCCTCCCCCCCCAAATAAAAAAAACTGCTTCCATTTTTATTAATAGTTAAAATGCCCCGGCTGTCACTGGGGACAATGGCAGCAATGTTAATAAATAAAAATAATAACTATTACTCTGGGCTGCAGAGAGACCCCAGGAGAAAAGCAGGGCATAGCCATTTGTTGTTCCCTCTCACTTGTCAAAGCTCTTTGGCTTAAAAGCCTTTGCCATTGTTTGACAAGGGGGGGATATTGAGAGGAGGAGGGGTGGCTAATAGCACCTGTTGGGATGATAGCAAGACAGCTGTCAAGAGAAAAAAAAACAGGAGCACTGCTAACTATTGGTCAAATAATGTGGACTCTAATACAGCTGCAAGAAATTCATGTTTTTTTTAACTTGAAAGGGTTAGGCCATCTTCTGTCCCAGTAATAGAATATTCTACAGCAGCCTCCCATACTCCACCCCCTGTAAGACTGCTGACAGGAGAAGATTGTACAAGGCCAGAACTTACACAGGGATTCCTTTAAGACTGAAGATTGGAGGGGAGTGTCCATATAGCGAATACTTCACTCCTTGGCGGAAGTTGTGGTTTCTGGCAAGAGGGATGACTTTTTTTTCTTTTATTATTATTGTATCCTCACTGACATGAGCAGCAGCAACAGCGGCAATCGTTTATCTGTCTCTGAGGCGACAATTTAGGAGAGAGAAAAAGAAGCGTAGTTGTTAAAACCTGCTCTTTCTCGGGAGGAGTTTTGGTCTTCGATCCAAAGGGGACTAACCTTGCTTTAAAACAGCTTTCTTGTAAGTTGCTAAGTTATGTGTGTGTATGTGCATGTTTTTAAGAATGTCCTTAAACACCTTTTCCCTAACTCACTACTGCACCTCCCCGCAATCCTACTGCTAATGATAGCCCAAAAGAATAGGATCTGTCTTAATTTGCTGGACAACGGAACCTGTGTTTAGAAACAAAGTCAAGAAATTGCTGTATTTGTACCATTTACCTTTTTTACATTTACAGCGCACACAATAATTTGATGGTGAACCCGAGAATGTTATTTAAACATTATGTAACAACATGTATATGCATGTATATTTATTATTTGTCTTTTATGTTAGAAGCTTTATTTCTGAATATTAATGATGAATTAGTATTAGAATTTTAATTCATGACACTCCTAAGTAATGCAAGGCGATAGCACTGTCAATAAATGATAGCTCGGCGCAGTTTTGATTCTTGCTGATGACTGAATAATGTGCCATGTATATGGTTGTGTGCATCTTTTTCAAGAGCAGCTTTTTCATGCTTTCATCTGTGTGCGTCTAAAGACCAGACTAAAAATTCCAGATCTCTTTCTCTCTGTTCTATGAAAGAAAATGTTGTCTGGCTACAGGGAAAAGCTTTGTCACAGGCATTGAAGACAATGGTTTTAAAAGTAGAATGGCCTGCCTCTAGTGCCTGGAGGCTTGATAGCCCATTGTTAAATTGCTATAGATTTTCAAGAACCGCCTTCTCGCTTTGCAGAGATTTCTTCGCTGTCTTTTAGAAGACTGTGGCCCTCCACCAATGGCATGTCCAGTTCCACATTTTATTTTTTTCTTTGACAGTTTTCCTTTTTGTTCAAGATTTTGCTGGAGACTTTATCAAAAGCATCAGAGCATACACTTGCTATTTTGAGAGTACAAAAGGGCTCCTGTCTTGGAAATCCCAAGAGTAAAACTTACAAAAAATTGCTAAAAGTGCCAGAAAAAAATATGAATTCTGCTTTGTCTTTGGCAGCACTGTTCTGCATTTGCTGTTACTTTTAAATCTTAATTGTGTTTATTTTGAATTGCTTACTCTTTCAATGTTCTCTTGTAATATGAAAAGAAAGATTGAAAAAAAACAAGTATGAATAAGGAAAAAATGTTTTGTTTTCTGAATAATACATTCATTTTGACTACTGTTAAGGCAGGCTATAAAACAAGAATTGTTAAAACAATGATTTTGTTTTATTTTGACAAAAAGCTAAATGTATAGGTCTGTACACTATACTCACTATGTATTAGGGAGACAAACCAATAAATTATGCTGCATTATATAAAGTGAAAGGCAACTGTCATTAAAAAGATACTGTAACAGTGAAGGGGAATATGCAAATTCCGGAGAATAAAAATATGCAAATAACTGAAATTGTGGCAGGGAACGAATCCAGATGATACTGTTAGAAGGCTACATTATTGATTTTTTTAGTGAATAATTAAGCAAATGGATAAATTTTAAACACAAATTCCTCATTTTGAGAGACTAGCAGATTGGTGCATTAAGAAACTGTGTAGGTGAACACTGAATTTTGTATGACATATGTTATATTAAAAATAGATGTCCTTTGAAGGCTTAAACAGGGGGTATATAAGTGATTAAAATAGATCATCACCAGCTTTAACATTTCTAAAATCCTTATAATATTTGTAAAAGTCTCCTTGCTATTATTAAGAAATCGAATTGACGTATTGCGATCAGTAAAGACTATTGATTATTTACAAGAATATTTGCCTGGTAATACCTGGTACAATAGCTACAAGGCATTGCCAACACTAACCTGAAACTTTTACATAAAGTCTGCATGTGTTTTTTATTATGTATATTGGTGTATAAAGACTTGTTGAAACTGATAAAGAGTTTTCTCAGACATTTTGTGCAGGTGATAAGAAGAAAGTATTTTTCCTGACAGTACTTGGTACTTGGGGATACTAATGTCTGTCACCACTGGAGAATTTTTAAAGCCTTGATACTTTAATGAAATTCGCCCCATAAAAGAGAAAATTGATTCTTTGCATTGCAATATCAGCACAGCCTTTTTTCTCTTTAATTTTCTTTTAGCTCTGTTGATAAGTTGTCCTTGGCAGGTTAGCAATTAGAAAAAAAGCAAGACCTTGCATCTATTAGAAAAACAAAGCGCGGCTTCATAATGTATCCATTGTCATCCTGCATTAACAAGAGCTTTGTTTCATGGAAGAAGGGGCTAATGATTTTCTAACAGCAGGTGATAAAACATGCTTCTCTTTTTTCTCTTATCTGGTTGTTGATGAAGCCATTAGCAAGAGGAACTTGGGGGGGGAAATAGTGTTTATTACAGCAAATGGACTTTAAATGAGCTTTATTGTGATGTAGTCCATTTTAATTTTTCTTTATTTCTTGTTCCTTAGAAACACCCAGCATTGAGAAGCTTCTATCAAAAGACTGGAAGGACAAGCTCCTTGCAATGGGATCAGGGAACTTTGGCGAAATTAAAGGTAATTTATATTTCACTTACAAACCTGTCCCACTGTTAATATCTGTGGGGGTTCCCTACGTTGTGCAGGCTGCTGTATAGGAGAGAATAAAAAAAAAATAAACTAAAAAGAAAACTGTGTGTAGCTGAGCGGAACAATAGAAAAATCGCATAATAACACAACAAATGCTGAATTAAAATAAATTGTGTATGTTACAATAACATTAAGAGAAAATATAACAGTAAATTAAAATATAATAGTAACACTTGAGGCCTATTTGATTCTACAGCAAAGTCTTAAGGCTACAGTGAAAGTTCATATTAATGGAGATCTGGTCCCAATAAACTGAAAAGCTTTCATCAATGAAGCATTTCCTTTTTTTGTCCATTTGTACGATTTACTAATTGATTAAAAAACTGCACACAGTATTCCTACTGTGATGACATTTTATTTGCAGACGTGTCCTGCTCAGTTTAGAAAAAAAATACCAGCTGGAGAAAAAAAAACGAATGGAAAGTCAGAGAGAAAGAAAAATCTTTCAAATAAATATTTTTTAGACAGCCATGTATTATTTTGAAATGATCCAAAAATATGCTGTATTCATACCAACAACGTGGAGCTGCATCCAAATCATGTAGGCAGTTTGTGAGTGAAGCACTTGACATGAGAATGAAATCTGTTGATTTTTTTTCCTGCAAAAAAGATTGAACTGGAGATTTTTTACATAACTCTACAGATGATGATGAGGATGACGATGATGATTGTAATGAACAGTACTATTGTTCAAGGGAGATGTAGCTTTGCCAAAGGACATAGTTTAGGAAAAAAATATCTCTCGCTTGTACAGTTGTTTGGCAGTTACAAACAAAAGCAAACAGCCACACTTAATACCTTACAATGAGAGGCTGGTACTGTATCACATGTTAAACTACATTTCCAGCATAGGTGTGCTGTGTACCTCTTGGAGTGAAGGCTTGAGAGTTATGGTATGGCTTAGAGTTCATCTGGTATAGTCACAGAGCAATCAGTCTGACAAATCTGAAATAATGAAATAAATAAGACCCACAATGAAAGCAAAATGCCCACAGCTATCTTATAGCACTGTTGCTATAAGGAGTTATCTTTTAAGAACAGACATTAATTAGTTTCTTGGGGTTTTTGACAAGTATTACATTGTTACAGATTGGTTAATTACTATGGAATGGAAGCAGCACTTAGTTATATAACCTGCCTAAGGATATTTGTTAGTCTGAGGAAACCAGTTATTGATCGGCTAGTCAAGTGCAAAATGGTTATGAACATTCTGTGACATGATTGATGAAGAAGGTCTTAAAATTACAGTTTTTCGAGGCATTAATGCAATATTTATAAAAGTTCTGGGGAAATTTATATTTATATTCTGTTTTTTTATTGTTCTATAAAAAAGATTGAGAATAATTTTGGGGGGTCTCTCAAGAAGTTAAAGTACTCACCTGTTCAGTCCACTCCTCTGGCAAGACGTTAGTTTCAGAGAAAACGTTGCCTACTTTTTGTGTTTCAACAGATCTGTCTTTATTTAATCTCTTGTTAATGTTACAGTTGACAGAGTAATGTCTCTCTTGGTTGCCTCTGTGACAACACGCTGATAGTTAAAGTGGCAACACTCTTAAACTGATATTCCTCAGTGTCTGATAAACTACTTTGTAAAGGTGGTAAGGCTGAAATAACTTAGATACTATTTGGACCTCGCTGAAAGTGCTTCATTTGAAACATTGTCATACACTATTTTTTATTTAACAAATTCTACTTGCAGTAAATTGACCACTTTAAGAAAACATTTTGCACACAATTTTGATATTTTAAGTTTGAGAGTCATAGTTGTCTATAACATTAATTGAAACAGGAAACATATATTTCTCCATATATGCTTGGAAATTAAATTACCATTTACTTAACGAGCTTCTAGTTTGGAACTGTTTGGTGTTGTGGAGATCAAAACCCTAGAACTAAATCTGATCTTGAATTTCTAAGCAGCATTATCCGGTTCATTGTGTTATCACTGTTATGTCTTTAAAATGTTTCTCTTTCGGGGTTTGTATGAAGGTTGTAAGTTATGTGAAATAAAAAAAACAAGGTATCAATGGACCTGGAAGTGATTTTGTGTTTTAGCCCACATTAAATAACAATCATATCATTGTGCAGTATTGTAATGTGCAAGTATGCCTATCAGAGGTTAATAAAAGTTGAAATATGTGCTAGAAAAACAAACACTGAACACTTGAACACTGAAACTTTATGGTCTAATGAGGAACTTTTGAACCGCAAAGTTTGATGGCAAAGTAGATTGCGTGGAGGCATTCGGTTTTAACTTCAGATCATAATTGGGGACCATTCATTTCAGCACGCTCCAAATGACAGAAAACTGAGTCAGCGGCAACCAAGACATATTGTGTTAGATTTATGAAATTGATTGAATTTCCTTATGCTGGATGTTGACAATCATTTAAGCCACGGCTGCTTTTACAGGAAAGAGAAGGGGATTTAGCATCAACTGCAGCAGAAGAGTTTTGCACTAACGTTGTGTGTCCTCACTAATTCCTTCGGCAGTTAAAAAAGGACTTTCTGAATCGAAAATGTGCAGCCGAGCGAAATTATTTTAAAAACATTTATCCTTTCCTTTTCCGGCACCTGCAGAATGGGAAGCTGCCATATGATTTAATTGATTTTTTTTTCTCCCAGAGCTGGTTACCCGTAATTGTAGATACTGTAGATGAAATTAGGTGGGGAGCAGAAGAATGCATGTAGGATGAGCTGTACACATTCCACATGCAGGTAAAGTTGCTTTGGTTCTCCATGATAAGAGGCACAGTATGTGCCCAGATCACATTAGAGCAAGTGAAAGTACTGGGAAACAGAGCAAGGGAAGCAGGGGGTGTTTAACAGACAATAAATCACAAAGTCCCTGTGATCTTGTAGTGCCATGGAGAGCACTCCTTTTCTCTTCAGGTTAAGCATGAAAGCAGATTCCCTGCGAGTTAACTCCAAAGACAATCCACATTCCTCCCAGCCTGGCTGGGGGACTGCCACTGAAAGAAAGATTTCTTTTATCCCTCCTCCACCACCCCACCCCCCCACACACACACACATCACCCCCCTCTTTTCCACTGCTTGACATTTTTAACATAAGGTCCTTTCTTGTTTCAGTCATCATCAAATGCACACACATCTGAAAGGTTCGTCAGTAAGCTGTTAAAACAGCCGCTAGTTTATTTTTCCTGCAGTCTGCCATGACAGTTGCATTTATTGTCCATTGTTGGTGGTGGGGTTGTGGGGAGGGAGAGACCTCTGGGGACAAATGGATTTCACTGGCACCTTCCTGTGGGGTCACTAGGGCTGTGCAGCCTGCTTGACTCTTTTTTAATGCCTAGGAATGTAGCTTTGCTGAAGGTACTGGCTTTTAAGCTCTCTGTGAAACAATGGGTGTTTGTATTACTGCAGTCGAAAGATGGAATAAAAAGGAGAAGGTGTACATTTCAAGATGGCCAATAAATTTAACACAGACACGGCATATATTTCTGTATGTTATCTGAGAATAACAGTGTTAACAGGCTTTTTTTTTATAGAAATATCTGCACATGTTAAGGGTAATCACACTTTAATATATCTTTTTTTTCTTTTGGTAAATGTAAATTATATTGAGGATAACGTTGGATCTGCCAGTAGTTTAAGAAAGTTCAAAGGTGAACATGTGTTATTTGCTGTTGTGGGTTATAGGTCAGTTCATGCTAAACATATGCTCAAGGGCACACTAAAAGGTAAGCATATAACTGGAAGAGCATCTTAGTTAAGATTTTGTCAGAACCACCCAGTGAGATAGTCTTCCTGAGCAATTCTACAAATTTGAGGCAACAGTAGGATAAGATTTAGGAAGCCAAATGTATATAATTAGAGGAAACCAAAAGATTATACAGAAACAGTAACGATATGAGCGGTACAAAACTGTTTTCACTTATCAAACATAGGATCCTACACTGTGATTTTGTAAGTGTGGTTATTGAAAACTTGTAGTTGCTTTTTGTAATATAGTACTTTGTTTTCTGTGAAACAATAATTTGCTATTCATATAACATTTCTCATCATTTGCAAAGGATTGGCAGTGCTAATGAGCTTTCACACCTTTAGAAAAAGGGTTTCACTTTTAGATATACAGTATAAGCCCAACAAACAAGCAAACATTGGAACAGCACATTACACCATTCTTAACAGCAGAGATATAAAAAATCTTTCAAAATGAAAGTTCTAGGGATCTAAAGGAGCTGCTTTAGAATCTTTGTTTTCTAAAGGAACAGTGCTGTTGTTTGTGTACTAGCATTTCTGTGTGCTTTTTGTCTTTGGTTGGGCTTTGATTTTTCTAGTGTCTGGGATAAGCTATTTTGAAGATGAGTGAAAGTGAAAAAGAGCATCAGAAGCAGAGATGCACTTATAGGCATTACGGAATACGATTATGTGATTAAAAACAATTAACAACAAGTTATTTAGGTTCTGTCATTAATTACATTCCTTTCTCTTTCTTTTATAGGTGAATAATACCAAAGCATGTAGTAGTTGGTAGCTGTAACAATGGCTTATTGGTGTGATAACTTGTTATTTGCATTTCTTTCTGCCATTGAAATTGTTAATATAACCAGATGAGCCCATCTCAACAGCAGCAGCACAGCCAGAAGAGAAGTTGAGCCCCAACTTTATTCAACTTCGCACTGCTGCTTAACACCTAGTTCTGACCTGTACGTGTTGGAACATTTCAAAGAAACAGCTACCTTGTAATTGTGGCACAGCTTAATTCGGTTGTATTTATGCTTATCAGTAGCTTTCATCCTTAATTTTATTTCCAGGATTACCTTCTGTAAGGTCATACCTCACAGCACAGGTGGGAGGGAGAGAAGGGTTAATCCAGCCCCCCCTGGTTATTACCATCCACCCGCAGAGCAGTTTGCCTCCTCAAACGTGCGCTTCCTTGCAGGGACACCAGAAAGCCTAGCGGAGAAGGAGAGGCAGCTCATGGGCATGATTAACCAACTGACCAGCCTGAGGGAGCAGCTGCTGGCAGCCCACGATGAGCAGAAGAAGCTCGCTGCGTCACAGATCGAGAAGCAACGCCAGCAAATGGAGCTGGCGAAGCAGCAACAGGATCAAGTGAGTCTAGAAAAAAAAAAGAGAGAGAGAATTTCAGCTGCAGACTGTTGCTAGAGAACTGCCACTATCACAGTCCCTGGACTGTAAAGGTGCACACTTGTGATGTCGAATACCTCGGTTGCCAAATTTTCCAGAGTGCAAGGGAGCAGGGGAGGAGTGAGTGAGTGCATAGGGATTCGCCAGTTGTACTGTTTAAAGGCCTAATAACACCTATAGGAAACTGGCATTGCAGTTATTTAAGGTGTGCAGCACCTGAAAATGGAAAAGATCTGCCACTACAAGTACAGAAAAAGACTCAGTTCCATCAAATAATTCTTAAGCTATGGTTGAATGTTATTTTTTTTTCATTTATAAAATATGCTGCTCAAATGGCATGCCTCAGGTAATATTTCTGAAAAAAAAAACTCCTGCTGTAATAGTTTGGGTCTGGGATCTGTGTCTCCTTTAGCGACCTTAATCCTTAAACTCAATCTTTTGTAAGGATGTTTGCATAGGATTAGTAAAAAAAAATCATTTTTAACATAAGATACAGAGCAGGGGATCTATAAAGATGCAAACATTTCTAACACATCATTGCAGGAAATGCATCATTGCATTCTTTGAAATAAGCAGGTTTTTATTTTTTTATACATAAATGCCTTTTCCTGAGTTTGTTAGCTCCTTCATTAAAAATCCGTGCTCGTGCTTCTTTAAAAATAGTAGGGGTTCTAACTTTAAAATTATATTTTGGTCAACTTGATGTTTGCTTTGAAAGCTGTACAATGTACAATTTGTTTCTTCCAAACTGAATTCCTTTATCCACACAAATGAATTGCCTTGTATATTGCAGCAAATTGTTTGTTGTTTCAACTATCAGATCTGATTAGGGAAGATATAAATAACATCTTGTGTTGATGACTCAGCAGGTAACATATTTGACTCTGAAAGAGAAGGTTATAGGTCTCATTCCTGGCTACAACCTAAACCTGAGCATAATCCCATCTGGTAATATATAACAAAGTGAGTGAAGACATAAGTCTGTGGGTGGCATCCTTGCAAGTACTTAGGGATCTAGAACTTGATTCACTATTAAATTATATACAAGTGTCTGTCCTTTAAAACAACAGATAGTGTCTATGTATTTCAACTAGCACATTGTGGGCATGGTGTCTTGTTAATGAAACCTAAACTGGGGAAATCCTGTTTTCTCTTTCCTTGTATTTGTGTCCCACAGATTGCAAGACAACAGCAGCAGCTCCTGCAGCAGCAGCACAAAATCAACCTCCTTCAGCAACAGATCCAGGTCAGAGAGGATTGTTTGCATTAAATGAACAGTAAGGTCGTACGGATGAGACAAGGGCATTTGGCGCACCTAGCCTTTTGGACTTTTAGTAGCCAAGAGATCTGAAACTCTCATTTAGCTGCTTCCTGAAAGAAACCAGGGTATTAGCTTTGACAGCATAGCTGTTTGTGTAAAGAAGTGTCTCTTGTTTTCTGTTTTGATGCACTTTCCCACTGGAGCTCATACTTTGTATTACAGATTCTGTTAATATTTAGTTACATTTTCATGCATGTTTCCTGTCAGATCAAATTTGAAAGTACTGGGGATGAGCTGATATTCAACAAAGATGTTTTCATTTTGTTCTCTAGAGCCCGATAACAATGTCACAAGCATAACATGGCTATAGTAAGGCACACAGAACATTGTAGGCACAGATGTTAGAATAATGGCTTTAGGGTGGATGAAACCTATTTGGCTAATAGAGTCAGTGAAACTTAGTTGCCTTGAAAAGTACTTCTATTATTCTGGGTGGTGTATGTGCCAGACATTGGCCAAAGCCCCAGATATTGCAGGAAACTCTAATCACTAAGACTATTCAGTTGACTTAGATAGTTTCAGTATACTGGATTGCTGCCACCTTTTTTGTCTGTTTGATAGAAGCCTTTCTCCTCTAAATGTATTCTAATTGAGCTGAGAACAGAATTTCTCAGAGAGGGGCTCTGCGACTTGATGTTTTTGTGTGTGTGTGCTTGTGTATACAGTACAGTACATGTGTATGTGAATATGAGATAGAAAAGCTCACCGAGGAAAATAAAAACTAAAATAAAAGTCCTAATTGAAATTACAGATCAATACCCTGTAGGCCGAAGAACATTTTTATAAGACAAAAAAGGAAAACAAAAAATAATCACATGTCAGGAGCAGCTGTTTTTGTAAACTTGTAAATACCGCCCTTCTTGATTCACTCCAGCATGGTCCACTGAGACAAAGCACCCTTTTCCCATGACTTTCCAACCTTTTCCCAAACAACTGAGTTTGCCAGTGACGAGGCAGAACAATTGTTTCTCACAGTGGGTTCACAGCTGATGTCTCTTTCGTTTGTTGAGCTGAAAAGACCAGCAGAATTATTCAGAAAAGCCAAATAAATAAATAAGACAATCCACTGGCGTTACAGCAAGATTGAACTTGCTTCTACAGAGAAAAAATAATTCCTCCAAACATTTATTTGAACATTTCTAGCTTAAACTTTTCGGATGAGGTTGGAAAACACTGTCTTATACTTTTAGTTTATGCCTCTGTCCCCATGGCCGTCACTGGATATCAGGATGTAGGATTGCTAGCCCTCTAATAAACTAGGCAGGAACCTCACTACTGCTTTCAAGGGATGCATATAATGTTTATAAACTATAATCACATATTTACCCCAAAGAACTGGCACTTTCTCGCCCATTATTTAAAAGAATTATCCACGGTGAAAAAAATGCAGTGACCTACATGCTGGCTAGTGGAATAATTGCCTTTTACCACAGCATAGTTGCATTCTTTCAGGCAGTTTAAACCAATGTATTCAAGAATTTTGTGCAGGTGTTCGTTTGGGGTTTAATTAAACATTAATTAAGAAAATTAAGCTTAGAAAATTGCTTCAGCAAGGCTTGTGGCCTGTTTCTCATGTTTTCAAAAAACTGCTGCTGGGTGGCTTTTCTATTTGAGAATTGGATAATTGGTTAAAAAAATAACATTTGCCAAAAAACATCAGTAAAATCAAAACCTTATGAACATAAAAAAGCAACTTGTTCTGTTTGGCATTACAACCAGTTCTAACAGCTGCTAGAAGTAACTTTTTGTTTCACAAGTGCTTTTTTTTTCTCCTCTACTTCCGAGTTCCTTCCTAACACATGGGCAAAGCAAACTGTTCTACTTCCCTTTGATACGCTGAAGAAAATATTGGAAATTCCAGCTTGAGAGTTAGAAATGCAAATCACTCTGGTTTTTCTTTCTTCTTTATCACTGGCAGAAAAATCAGTCATTCGGTAGTCCAGATGTGTCTGTGCTGAGTCATTTTCTCAGAATTGCTAATAACTCCAGGGCATTATTCTGTCATAACAGAAACAGACGGGTTATGCGAGCCAAAAATATGTTTACAAAAATTATTTGAACATCTACAAAGAGACTGCTGAAATTGTCTTTTAAGGAAAGAATTTAGTGAGAAACTGCAGTTCACATCGGCCATTAAACTGGATTCGTTGTATGAAATAGCACGAGTGTTTTAGTGATCAGGGAAAAGGAATTCACTGCAAATTTCTGACCAGTTTCCGGCATCACAGTTTCATAAACAAAAAGGATCTAAAAGAACCTGTAAACCTGTAAAGATTTACAGAGCTGAGATCATGTACTTTATGTGGGTGAAAATAACACCAGTTATGTATAAGTATCCAAGAATAGGTGAGAAAAATAAAAGGTGGTGATCTGGCCCTGAGAGATCTAGTATAAAATTAGAAAAGGCTACTGCAGGCTGTATACGTGTAGAAAACACTTTCACTTTTATTACTATAACCACAATTAAACCATGAAGTCATATTTTAATCAACATTATATGCAGCATCTCCTAGTGGCTTGAAGTCAAGAGGAAAAAGTGAAACCGCATATTCACGAATGAACAAATCTGTGCTCTGTAATGTCTCGTTTTTGTGTGGCCTGTTTCATGTGCTTAAATTGCTGAAGTGAAAACTTCAGTTATTTTACTGGTGGATATTTCAGTGAAACTATTCTGTGTCATTCTTTGTTCTATTAAACATACAGCAGGATTGTCTATAGTCTATGTAGTCAATGTCCGAAATCCAAGATTAAACAGATGTATGTGAAATGATTAATATTAAGTGCCCATTGTAATGGGGCTCACTGCATATAATGACCATATTAAGGAGACATCACTCCCCTTAGTCCCCAAAAGCACTTGTGCCACAAAGCTGTCCTGTTGGCATAACAGGTTTCAAGCTCGTATGGGTTGGCTGTTAGGCCTGCGTGTCTAGAGGTTAGTCTGAAACAGTGGTTTGACTCTAGGTTTTGATTGCACATGTTGCAGTGGTGACTTGGCTCAGATTAAGCAGATTAATGCGTATCAGTGAATGAGGTTGCCCTGGTGTTTGTGGGGGGGGGATAGGGTGTATAATGAGCTCGCTTTGTTGATGTTGTTCCCATGGGGTCTTGGCAATGTTCAAATTCCCTGAGTCAGTGGGGACGGTCTTCTGGCTTGAGGGGTTTTTACATCACTTGGAGCCATTTAACTGAGGTGTTTTTAAAGTGTGGCTGAGATTTACATTCCAAGTTCTGACTCCATATGCTACTACAAATTACTGCAGTATTTGCTAGGGTTTTTTTTTTTTGCTGCAAATATGTACTGTAAGCATTTTGTTTTTAACTTAACATACCCTGGTTCATCTGCTCAAATCAAAACTATTAACTCACGCATTTAACAGCAATTTGCTTTCTGTAGGCTTGTATATAAATGGTCACAGCTGCTGAAGCAGATTTTGAGTGTATTGGCTAATGAAATAGCTTTATCTGTCTTCATTATTTGTTTTATAGCTGTACTTTCCAACTTCGTATGAGGTAGGATAGTAAAAAGCAAGACTTCCCAATTAATAAATCAGACAGTAGTATTGCTACTTCTTAGAATGCCTTATTCATTCAAAAAGTCAGGATCTCTGGCTTGTTTTACCATAAGCTTTTAAGAACTACACTGGTTGCAATTGTAGGTCGTGTGCTGCGTGGCATTAATGATTTGGTAGTTTTTTCAAATAGGTGTTATTGGAGTAATTAATGGAGAAAAAAACATCTATTTATCAATTAAATTCAGCATCTATCTTGTTCGTTAACCTTCCTCTTGGGAAAGGGTCTTTGCTATTTGCTTATTTTTTCTACTGAGTGCCTTTCAGCTGGAAATTTGCAAGTGAGCTCTTTTACTCTGTGAGCTATCAACTGTACTTTGAACATTTACTGGTGCTGAGGTCTGCTCCTTTCACCTACTGTACTCACTGGGAAATGTCAAAAGGGCATTTATTGAAATGCTCCTCAATGACAAGTTAACACTGACCTTACATTTATGATAATTAAACCTGTTCATAAGAACATGTCCCTCAGGATTACTTGTTCACCATAGCCATGTATTATATTAAGATTTTTTGCCTTTTTGATGTCTTCATAAAAGAGAACAACTGCAGAGCTCTTTTGCATTCAGGAAAAAAGAACTACATCATCTACAATTAATCCATTATGCATTTCCATAGCTAATGAGCTATTATTTACAAAGCTACTAAATTCCTTTGTCAAATAATCATTCTGAAGATGAGTCTCCCTTATTCCTATGATGCACTGTCCCCATTGGGGAGAATGCGGCTCCTTTCCCCAATATCATTTTTGTACAGGACACCCTGTAATAAGGGGTAGGCATTGCTTGTTTCATATTCTAGATATGAAATTGCTTTCATTTTAGTTAGATGTAGGTAAACCTTTTAATAGACCATGAACAATAACTTTTGTCAGCCAGAAAGTAAGCATTGTACACACTTTTTAAAGCCACGCATTTTTATTTTCATTTTATGAACACTAATAAAACTTGAGGGATAACTTCATTTTCAGTGTCACCCGTAAGACATGTATTACTGCTTTTTTACAGCTTAATTAATGCTGATAAATACATGGCAAATGCATGTCGTATTTGTGAAATATGTTGGAAATGTATTATTGTAACTGGAAATCATTTCCAATTATGAGAGACAAAAGATAGCTAATATCTGGTTAGGCTTTACAAAGGGGTTGTCCTTCATTTATCCAGTGGTAATATATAATTTACAAAGAACTTCTCATTGCTTACAATTGTCTCCTAAAATACCATTTTTATCTTATATACAGTAGTGTTACCATTAAAAGATATTCATAGATATATTGTATTGTGGATGGGTGCAATATGTGTAATGAAAGATACACTTTTCAGGGTTGTGGTGTTTTAGAATTAACACACT